GAGAGAGAGAGAGAGAGAGAGATGAAAGATCGCAATAGTGGTAAGGACCGACTGAACGAGGATGAGATGACCACTCAGCGTGAGCAAGGCAGCGTGCCATGACGCAAACCTAGATCGAATGATATCTAGTGTACAATCTTCTTTCCTTGCCCTCCTGCAATTCAAAGGAAGTCCCCAGATATGTTATAGGTATATGGTTGAGTTGGCAATTAAGACGATTGCAACAAGCATTGGCTATGTCCTCATCATAGAAAATGGGTGAAATTGAGCTTTTGAGGGGACTGCACCTTAGATTAGAAGCATTAGCAAAAACCTGGAGCATAGATCCAACAATTTGGGCATCTATCAGCGAGGCCCTGCAGAGATAAAATAACATCATCCACGTATAACGAGAGCCTGGACGGCACAACCAATCATGAAGGGAGTAAGCAGCCCCATATCTTCAGCTTTTGATAAGAGGAAGTTAAGAACATCAGGGATAGGCATCATCTTGCCAGAGTCCACAGGCATGCCAAATCTGAGTAGCAGGGGAGTCATTTAGAAAAACACTCGAGGAGGCCGTGGAGAGAACCATAGCTATCCGCTCACACCGTCTAGGTCCAAAAACCTTTCATCATTTTGTAAAATATCCATGCCAAGCAACCGAGTCAAAGGCACGGGTAATGTCAAGCTTCAGAATGAGACTATCGCACCTCTTCCGCCGGAGAAGCTTGGTCGTTCTGAATTAAATCCGGTATGATTTTTTCTAAGAATTCTTTTGTAGTACCATACATTTCAAGAGAAATTTTATCTTGACTCGGTCATCTTAGAACAATTTCTATGTTTCCTTGTAGTATAATGTATTATATATAATCAAACAAAGTAACAAACTCTGATATAGATTTCAAATCTGTAGGAAAACGAAGATGATACTTCAGTCTTTTGTTTTATGTATTCAGCGGTCAAATAGGAGTGGGGATGCTCGTCTGGATACAGATACTCCGACCTCGGCCAGCCTTGCCGGTCCTAGACGTGCGACTAATTACCATCTCAATTTTCAAAATTCTATTATAACACCTGCAGATCGTGATCCATGTTCCATGACGCATCACCGGCGCACGAGAGATTCCAAAAATAGTCAACCTCATGCCAAGATTACCAGCTTCATTATTGCTGTTATTATCATACTACGGGCGGGTAACAACCTCCCCGATTAAGCTTAACAACCCCCGCCGGACGGCCCTGGTTCTTTTACAGGAAGGACCCTGCGCTCCACGTCCCCTGCTTCGCAATTTACGACTAGGACCTCGGCACAGCTGAGAAACTATGATATAGTCCCCGCCGGGTCAGCCGCGCCTCCCGCCCGGTCCGTTCCCGCTGCTGTTGTTCCCCGGCGCCTCACGCGAATGCCGATGCCAATGGCGGCCGCGGCCGGAAACGGAGAGGCCTCGCCGCTCGTGGAGGCGGTGGGGTGTAACATGCTGCGGCCGCGGGACGGGCCGCCTCCCCCGTCGCCGTCCCCGGTGGTCGGCAAGCCGCTCGCGTCCGGCGCTGTGCCGCGGCACGCGCTGGAGTTCGACGGCGAGGGGCGGTATATGGACGCGCCGTGGGACCTGCCTACGTCGGCGGAGACGTCGCCTTCCTCCGCGCCGGGGGCGTTCACGTGGCATCACGTCGAGCTCCCGCGGTTGCTCACCGGTGGCGCGGCCGCGAAGCCGCTCCACCACGCGCAGGCGCTGATCGAGCTCCTGTGCCCGCCGCTCACGCTCCAGGAGATCCTCGCGCTCGTCGGGAACGGCCCGCACTGCGGCGGCGTCGCCGACGGCGGCGGCGGCGTGCTCGTGCTCCGCGTCAGCGCGCCGGGGCCGCTCGGCAGCGCCTTCGCCATCCGCCTCGCCGCGCGCGTCACCGAGAGCTCCGTAGTCACCGTGTCCGTCGGCGCCGTCCCGCGGCTCGCGTTCGGGACCACGCAGGCGTCGCTCCTCTCGGAGGTGCCCCTCGGGGTGGCCGCCTCGCTCGCCGAAGAGGGGCACGGCGGCGGCCGCGCTGTCGAGGGCGGCGTCGTCATCGACGAGCGCCTGCTCGAGTCGCTGCTCGCCATGAACCACGCGGACGGCGCGCACACCGACAACCCGGTGCCACGGACGGTGTCCAACCTCCTCGTGCACGTCCTCGGCACGCACGTCGACCACGTCCACGACATTGTCACGCGCCTCGAGATGGAGATCGACAACATCGAGCTGCACATCGACAAAGGTGGGTGACGGAGGTTGCTTTCTTGGCTGGTAGTCTCAAAGCATACGGTGCTTATTCTACTAGTCATCTTTTTAAGACTCTGCAAAAAAAAGGCAATCTTTTAGGAGTTGATACTAACTTCATGTCTACGCCTATGTGGTTGGTGATGACAAATTCTTGTTGTATGAATAACGTGAGTTGCATTAATCATCATCATAGAATGTTAATTGAACCGGAAGCTTAATTTGGTGGCAAGGAAATGGGGGTTGGGCGTCAAATTTGTTGAAATTGTTGATGTGCATTGGAACGGCGAACTGGGAGAACTTCTGGAAGGTCAACACGAGTTTGCTGATTTTCTTGGGTTAATTGTGGATTGTTCGATTTGCAACACAGTTTTGGTTCCACATTTGTGCTTAAGCTGATTCTCAAATGGTGTTTTTCTATCTAGAGGCCATTCCCTGATAGATTGAAGATGCCCTGATGCTGGAATAAAGATAAAAGAGGAAGCTAAGAACTTAACAGGTTTTGCTTATGGATGGTAGAATGTGAATTGTCAAGCAACCTTATTTTCTGAAATGCGATGAATGCAGTGGCGGTATATATTTGCCCAACATGATCTTTTCTGCGCCATCTGCGAGTTATTGGGGGAATTTTGTTCATTAATATCTTGGGTTCTAGACAGGTTAATGTCAATGGAATGCAATATAAAGCAAGCCTTCATTACTACTGATAAACTTGTACTCAAATTTGTTTGTAAGGTGATATCATCTAATCGAATTACTTTAGTTTATGTCTAGTAATAGTCTAGTTTGATTATGCAAAGGATATATTTACAAGGTATCAGATGGCAAATGTATTCACCTAGCACCTGGCAAATCGTCTCTTGAGATTTTTCATGGTATGCTTATGTATGTTGATTGCAGGTGGTCACTTCATGAGGAAACTTCTGTTGGATGGCAGGAGATTCCCCAAAATGCACCTTGATTTACAGCGCCTACTTCAGGTATTTGTTGAACCCTCTCCCAAATTTCTGAAGAGATATACGGAGGACTTGAATGGGATGTATTTCAGTGATGTATTTAACTGAGTGTCCATGTGACCCCAAGATCAATATCATCTGCTGTTTCCTGACCTACCATACCATGATACCAAATAAAAGTTGGAGGCCTGATGCTAATATGCTGTTCCTTCAGGTGGTTTCTCACGGCGAACAAGTCTTCCCCCGTGTGAAGGACAGATGCGCGAGCAAGAGTTGGTTTGCAACCGAGGATATTGCCGCCCTCGAAGATTTGATCGGCCGCCTTAGGAGGCTCAAGGAAAACCTTGGATTTATAACAAACAGAGTGACCACGCTGCAGGCCAGCCTCGACAGCTGGCAGTCAGAGCAGATCAACAAGAGCCTATACTATCTTTCATTCCTCTCCATAGTTTTCCTCCCTCTCTCCATTGTAACCGGAGGTAAGTTATCCATGTTGGTCATCGTAGTGAACTTCCCCTTCATCAGGTTGTTTCCTGCTCATGGGTGATCACCTGGATATATCCTTGCCTGCTATTTTACGCAGTTTTTGGGATGAATGTCGGTGGTGTGCCATGGACCGAACAGAACAAGAACCCCGCAAATCTGGACGGTTTCGCCAACGTGATGCTGATATGTGCCGTGATCTTGCTGCTCCTGCTGCTTTGCTTTCTGTTCCCTTCACTGTATTCTCATGTGTCGGCATGGCGAACCCGGCGTGAACTGACCAGGAGTGGCTCCCAGAACAAGAGGCACCTGAAACTCTTCAAAGGCCACAGGGAAGGTTACATGCGCCTGTGAGGTGAACATCACAGGTAAAATGGTGGTGCAGCAGTTAGTTAGCATGAATGGAACCTTCTTGTGTATGCTCATCTCCTTGAAATCCATCCATGAATGCAGGTTCTTCCTGTACTCACCTGGGGGATGCTTTCCGGTAGGCAATCATGAAGGGAAGATCCGAGGTGTTTCATTGGCAGCGAGAAATCTTGATACCAAGAATTTCTTTGGTGATGTTGTTGTAATATTGGGTGTAAAATTAGACAGAAAACTAGATAGGGGCCGTGTACAGCTTTGGTTCACAACCTCCGACATAGGTTTACCACACATCTGTTCATTTTTTTAGTTCTTTTCTTTTCCATTGTTATCTTGGGGAAGTTTGGTAGTAAGTCTCACTGTACCATTATTTTGCCTGTAAACTGTAACATTTTTTCAAGAGAGCAAGCTAATTGCTTCGTCCATTGTTCTTCAGGTGTCTGTTCATTTATTCTCATCATAGTTGCATGATTTTTCTTCAGAATTGGATCATGAAAGAACCCAACATGTTTCAAATCATTTGTTCGGAACTTCCAAACTTGCCTTGCCGGCAAGAATATGGCAGTATGCTGATTTTGGCTTCATTGTTTAGACCAAGAGGCACATACAATTTGGGAATAGTCCCAGTCCAAAAGCATCTTCAGAATATTCACGTTTTCTTCCTACCAGCCAACATAATTCATGAATTCAAGCGGTTGCTATCTTCAATATTCACAACACAGTTATTCCAAATTTGCACAACATTAGATAAAAATATTGTTTACCCCTTGCAATCTAGTGTTGTACATGTTGAGACGGATTCCCCAAGAGAAAATGGTACATGAGTGCAATTGGTACATCTGAAGCGCATTTCACTTCCCACGCCACCAAGGACAAGAGTTTGTTCAGACCGAAGAACTAATCCCACTTCAACGAAAAAGAATGAAGCGTTCCTAGTGATGCGAATTTGGAGGGCAGTTGCAATCACCACTCTTCACTATTATACACAGCCTCTTGTGAAAATGCCGCCTGCATCGCTATTGAATTACAGTTCAGCTGACAGAAATGGTGAGCAATTGACGGGCAACACAGGAAATATCCCTCTAGATCATGCAGTTCATAGCACTGGTGTTAGGAGGCACTTATCAGTAAGTAAACATAGAACTGTGAGTTAAAAGGGTTTTTCTTATGTAACATTATATGAGAACGGACGTTTGGCTCCCGGGAGCCATGGAGGCCTTTTTTTGAAAACAAATCAAAATTCAAACTTTTCGGTTTCAAAAAAATCTGAAAAAAATTGTGCAAGTAAACAAGTATGTTATGCCTATGTGTGTAAAATTTCAGAATGAAAAACGTTGAAATGTGACCTATACAAAAAAGACAAATTCCTGGTCCGGGAGGATGAATAGTGTCATGTGTTAAAAAGCCTCAGATTTGTCTTTTTTGCACAGCCCTCATTTCAACTTATTTTGCCCTGAAAATTTACACACGTGTGTGTTAGGCCTTCATATATATGTGTGTTTTTTTTCAGAATTTTTTGAAATGTAGAAAATATGAAATTCAACAAAATTCAAATTTTTCAAAACCAAGCTCCATGGAGCTCGGCCTCCAAAGACAATATCCGACATTATATACCCTATATAATCTAAAGCTAGAACAAGCTTGTAATATTTCGGATATGAAACTGTTGCATTTATAATACTAAACCAAGTAGCTAGATGCTACAACTCTACTGAACTGAATGATCACTGATCTACTGTCAAAAATATAAGAAAGCTTTTATCTACAGAAGTAGATTCAGACTATCGAAATCCATCAACATATTTCTACAGTGTAGCTTACTCAGGCCTATCATGAGCACCCATACATATATCAGCTGAGATGATAATATATTCTGGAAAAAGAAATGATAATAGACCAAAGTAATGTACCTCAATCCAAATTTAATTCTGGTTTTGCAACTGCACACGAGATGAATGATCTGCAAATATAATACAACATGAATATCATAATTCATCAGGTTTATCTGAGCCGAGTAGTGCGATAAAGAATCAGATATAGTGTTAGTATGGTGAATAGTACCACTTGTAACACCGGTAGAAATCATTCTATCCATATTATCTATACGTCTTTGTATGGACCTCAGTAGCATGTTTAGCGCTAACACTCTCTTGCGGATAGAGGAAATCCTTGCTGCATGTTGTGCTATTACCGGGGAGGGAGCATTCTCCAATAGCTTGTCTAGTTCTGCAGAAACCAATGGGCATAATTTCATAAAATTCACGACGCACAGGGAGAGTATGAGCTGAAAACAATATACATGCAGAGAAAAATAACAACACAAAGCTCAATTCAGAAACATATGAACCACAAAATAAGCATCCAATAACAGAAGTATAAAATCTCTGGGGCGATATCTTGCCAACTGCTGATGTACTTCACATAACATGGTTCAAGGTAGGATCACGTGTGCCGGGAAATACACAGGAGCACATGGATGCTCCAACCCCCTATATGAAAATTAAATTCAAAAAATACAAGAAAAATTTCAAAAATGAAATCTTGGACTATGAAGTTATGAAGTTTCGTAGAAAAAATACCAGGAAATGTATCCGTGGCGACAAAAATACAGTCCGAACTAAAATCCATCCAAACAGTTTTTTTTCTATACATAAGAATTATTTGTCTTTTTTGCCACATATTCCAAAATCCCAGATTTTTTTTTGAAATTTCTGTTTTTTTTTTGAATTTAATGTTCACATAGGGGTGTGGAGCACCCAGGTGCTGCAAATCCTCTTCCCACGTGTGCCTCTCAATACTGCAAGCACGATAAGCAATCCCTCATAGGCAACATGATTAAATGTACATTAGTTACCCTAAGACCGCATTTAATTCCTTGCAATTAACTCGATGGTGCTGGTAGGGTGCAGAGCACAGGGCAAAACCTGTCCGCAAACAAAAGGGCAAAACACCTGCACGCTCTTTTTTTCCGAAAAGGCTCAGATCTATTATAAAGATTCGTACAAAGCATCCCAAACGTAATAAAAATACGTCAAGGTTTTTGGACCACCGAACGACCACTACCGCCGCTAAACGAGCTGTCGACGAACCGTTGTCGCCGCTCCCATACCGGAACCAGCCTGACCTTGTCGATGGCAGCCGGGAAGTCTTCATGCACGTGCCCTTAAGGACCAGCGCCCCAAAGCCGCAGGCATCGCCGTTGAACCCTTAAATCAATTCAAAGAACCTGACACGAAATGTCACCGCCTCATATGCAAGACGAGAAACCCTAACCTCGCAGCCCCAAGAAGACAGCAAGAATCTACTCCGAAGCTCCGTCTAATCCATCCTGACGGACGAACTTGAGGAGGAACAGAGCCCGGAAGACTGACTCGGAGATGAAGCACCGCCATCCATCCGAGCGCCACCCCTATGAGGATTAAGACCCTAACCTATCTACTAACCGGACTCGAGACACCAAGATTCCCCTCTCCACCATCGGAGGGCAGGAGATTCCACGGGCTCGCCAGCAGAGATTGAGTGAGGAGGCTTCGCCCTACTCGCCTTGCAAGAGGGGAAGGAAAGCCAACGATAAACCTGTACACTCATGTTTTGATGGCGTCACAGAAGTCTTGCTTCTACCGTATTCAACTTATATAAGTGTGCAGGTAATAAACAAACAATTTATTATAGTCAATACAACATAATACCACTACTCTATGTCCTGATCTTACACACCAGAACCGTCCAGATACAGGGGGTGCACATCACCCGGAGCCAAAGATTCGCTACCCATATAGGTCCTGCTTTCTATGGAAAGCAACATGCATTGGAGAACCCAGCGTAGCAACTATGGTTTGCTGGACCAAATCTTCCTCAATCAGGTATTTATCTTAATCTGCGTATTTCATGTGTTTTGTCAATTTAACTATCATATTTGTGTTTGTATCGACAGTGATGTACTTTTCAGTAATATAATTTTAATTCCAATCTAGTGAACCCTTTTGTATGCCATAACTTAGCACCTCCCTGGCTTCATTTCTATGCGTTTGTCCACCAAGTTGGTTGCTTAATATACTTCATTTTGTTGTTTGGGTGTTTCAAAGTGCACTTTTTTATCCAAGAACTGAGCCCCGATGATATTCCAAACCACTCTTGTTTGTCTTTCACTTATGTAGGATAATAATAGAGCCAGCAGCTGGCTACATAAATCTGCCATATCACCAAAAGCCAGCCTTAATTACTGTATAGAGTTGGCTATTAGGTTAGTACTTTTTTCACTTTCTCTCTTTCATTTTTCTCTCATTAATTTTTTTTACCTAGGAGCACACGTAGAGCTCACTCCTTTTCTTTTTCCTTACCTCTCTTTTCCACATAGGCAAAAATGTCATGTAATAAGCAGGCTTATAGCGTGCTACCTCCATCTCGGTTTATTGGTCCCCTTCGTATTTTGTGCCAAATTTTGACCATAGATTTCACTAACAAAATATAGGTTGTATACCACAAAACTTATACTGTTGGATTCATATTTGAAAGAGGTTTTCAATGATACTATTTTCATGGTATATAACTTTTTTTGGTAGTTAAAATCAGGTCAAAGTTTCACCCAAAATACAAGGGGGGCTAATAAACCAGGACGGAGGTGGTACTATTATAGTAGTATTATACTTCCTCTAAATACGCAATTATTGTCAAGTCAGCCATGCCACTTAAAAAGATGCTCTACATTATTATTAGTTCATAAGTACTCCCTCTGTTCCAAAAAACTACTTGCACTGCAACAAAACTGAAACCAAATACTAGCATGAGCATCTCTACAATAAGAATGATCTTCGGTTCGAATTGACGGAAAAATACACATTAACTACTGCTCAGACAACAAGGCTGAGTCAGTACCAGAATGACCATAAAAAAGAAATACTAGCGTGAGTACCCATATCACACTGTACCACAAAAATTCAGGAGCTTAAAGCAGAATCTGTTGGTCCTTAGGGCATTTCTAACCGATCCCCAATAACCAGTTAGAGGAGTAAAACCCCTCTAACCGGGACCTAACCGATCCCCAATAGACCATAGTGGAGTAACACATTACTCGGCCGCCACAAACCTCCCTATTTTTACTCCACCGCTCGGCGACCGAGTAAAAAATCTCTCCCTGTCCCTCTCCTCTGCCTCCACTTCTCCCCCTCGCCCCGCCGTCGTCGTCCGCCGGCGCACCCTCTAGCCATCGCCGCTCGCCCAATCGGCCCACCCCCACCCAATTCGCCGATTTCCCGGAGCTCCCTCCGCCGCAGCCGCCGACAAGGACCTACCTCAGCGTCCGGTAGCGCTTGTGGGGGATATGGGTGGCGGAGATCACCGACCGGGAGACCCACAAGAGGAAGTGCAACGGGTCGTTCCACACAGCCGAGCTCACGGCGATGGAGTATGACCGGTGGCAAGTCCAATTCCACGGCCCGATGCGAGGCTGAACTTCCTGTTCGGGACGGCGTCGGTCCACCTCATCCTGCCGGAGCCGGGTGTCGTGAGCGCGGCGATGGCGCGGGAGGACAGAGAGGCGAGGGAGCGCCTCGAGGCGGAGGCCGCCGACGAGGCGTACATGGAGGACCTCCGCCGCCAGCACCCGGAACTCGTGGAAGCGGAGCGGGCGATATTCGCCGACAAGGCGGGGAGGTCATCGTCATCTCCGACGACGAGGTGTAAGGCGGCGAGGAGGAGGAGTTCGAAGTCGAGGAGTGGTGAAGCATCTTCCCCGACTGCGACAACGACGGCACCGGCCTAGACCCAGCTCTCACCGAGGGTGGCCTGTCGAGGAAGGATTGGCTCGACCTCCACTACGGCCGTTGAGGTTGAGTAGTTTTTAGTGTAGTTTTAAGTTTAGTGTAGTTTAAGTTTAAGTTTATGTTTAATATTCGGTTGTCAAGACTATCTATGTTGAACTTATGTTTAAATGCATGCAAGTTTCGGTTGAAATTAGGCTGAATTTATGCAAATTTACGTTTTACTCCGCTAAGTTTAGGGGATCGGCTAGAACCGACCAAAACTTAGTGGGGTATAAATACTCCACCAAGGTTTACTCGGCCGGATACTCCGCTATTTTTTAGGGATCAGTTAGAAATGCCGTTAGATCAGTCAGATGTCATATCTTATCAGTAAGTATCAGTTAATCCAATTCGCTTAGAGCAGAGCTAATCTGTATCGAATCACTTGATTAAAACACATGCCGGAGACACCTCAACGCAAACTAGCCACAAAGCGCAAACAAAACCCTAGGCGAAGACGAGCCCGCACATGCCCCCACAGGACGGCCGCAGAGGCAGGAGCAGGGAGCAAGTAAATTTGAGGCCAAGGCGTAAGAGATGATGCAGGAGGTAACCACCTACCTCCATTGAGGCGGTCAATGGCGATGGCGAGCTCGGCCTGGCTCTGGGCGGTGGCTGCGGCGCGCGCCTCATGCTCCTCAAGCGCGCTGCCTAGCACCCCCGCGATGGCCGCAGCCAGCGCCTCGCACCTGTCAGGAGGCGGACCCGTGTCCGCGTCCTCCAAGCCGCCGTCTCCGGTCATCTCCGGAGGCCGGTCGTCGCCGCCGGCGATTGTAGCAGACGGGCCGGAGGTGGTGGGAAGATCGAAGCCATCCATTAGAGGTGGTTCCATCGAGAGAGAGGGCTGGAGACAAGCAGTGGATCGGGAGGACGCCGGGCCTCAGATTGGGCCAAGCAATGGGCTTCGTTTAATTTGAATGGGACAAAAGAGCAGGGGGCTTCCTAGTCGCGTTCTGGACCGGCCCAGTATCATGGCTACATTGTCGCTCGTCCAGAGTCGCATTGGTTCGCATCGCACTATCACGGTTGACCGATCAACCGTTGGCTTTTGAAAAAAACATTTAAAAATCCGTAAATAATGGGGAAAAGATTTTTTATTAAAAAAAACATGGATTTGAAAATAACAATCATCAACTTTTAAAAATTCACATTTCGGAAAAAAAAGTTCGTAAATTAGAAAGGGTCCACGGTAATTTTAAAATTGCAGATCTGAAAAAATATCATTGTTTTTAAAAAAACACGAATTTCAAAAAAGTTCGTGGATTTTGAAAAATAAAGAAGGATTTGAGAAAATAATTCATGAATTTGCAAAGAACTGCATCAATTTTAAAAAATAAGTTCACAAACTTGAAAAAGTTTGCAGATTTTGTAAAAAAAACACGAATTTGAAAAAAGTTCATCAATTGTGTAAAATACATGAATTTGAAAAAAAATCACGGGTTTTGAGAAAAAAGTTTGTCAAATTTGAAAAGAGTTCGTGGATTTAAAAAGCATTCAAAAGATCAAGAATTTAAGAAAAATATTCATGATTTGAAAAAAGGAAAATAAAATGAACAAAGAATTAGAAGGTGAAAAGAAAAAGAAAAACACAAAAGAAAACCCGGGCAAGCAAAACGGAAAAAAAAGAAACCAAATAGGGAAATCGCTGTGTCTCTTAGCGTTGTAGTTGAAGAAGAAGAAAAAGAAGTAAACTAGGCACAACAGGCAAGTTGTCCACTTGGTTACCCCGGTTTGTACTAAGGCCAACTCCAATGCACCGATCCAAACGAACATGAATTTGATCTTTTTTTGTCTGTTGGGTCACCAGTTTGTCTCATGTCCGCATCAATTTGGTCAGTGCGCCCAACCGGCCAACCCATTTGGTCTGTTTGGGTTGTCTCAAAAAAATTGTATGTTTGGGTAGTGCGCCGATCCATTTTGCCCTCGGCCATTTTTCCAACTTCCATTTTCTGGTAATCAAACATAGCAAATATATAGCAAGATAAATGGAAAAATTTTGTTTTTGCCACTCTAGTTTTTGACCACTTTACTTATGCCACTCTAGAATTTGACATTTCACTTTTGTCATTCTTAGTTTTTGACAATACATCACAATTTCCATTCCGTGGCAAAAGCAATAATTTTAGAGTGGCAATTGTGATACATTGTTAAAATCGAAGAGTGGCAAAAGTGAAATGAAAAGTTATTGCTTTGCCACGGAATGGCATTTGTGATGTATTTGTCAAAACTGAAAGTGGCAAAAGTGGTATGTCAAATTTAGAGTGGCATAAGTAAAGTGGTCAAAAGTTAGAGTGGCAAAAACAAAGTTTTCCCAAAATAAATCTAGCATATTTGCATTATATGCTATGTCGGCATACAACATTGGAGCAAAAGGATCACCACGGCCATAGTTCATGCATCTTGACCCTAGTGCATGAAAAACAAACAAATAGAAGATGATCACGCATCTCGGTCTTGGATGAATTTTTGCTTCCCCTCAAACACAACCTTCTCTTTTGGAGTCATCTTGCTCGTGTCGCCCGCCATGATCTCCACACCTTTGTGGTCAGGTTAATCGTGCTCTGACGTGGTCAATAACCTCAGGAGATTGGTTTAGCGATTGTTAAGGCGCAATGTCGTGCACGTTTGTAGTCAGATCGTCAAAGTCATTCTTCACCAAATCAATAGTTATCATCTCATCGAAAGATCGGGACCCTCGCCTCTATCAAGTGGTATCAGTTTTCAGGTTTGCTCAGTGAGAATTTCCAGTTTTCCCTATATTATATTTATTTTCCTACCTATTGTCCAAAAAGAAAGCCCCCAAAAAAGTTAGATATGTTTATCCTTTGTCCAAGCCAGTCTGAGCCTTTGCAATTTTCTTTTCATTGTTTGCATTATTGAATTAGCGGTTGCATCGTCGTGTCGACTTGCTGGTCTTAGTGTCTAGTTCGTTTAGAGTTTAGAGTTCTGTTCACACTAGTCACACAGTCGCTGCATCGTTATTCCTTCTGTTGTCCACCATCACATCCATCAATTCCACCACGTGTTACCCACCGTTCATTGTCTTCATCATAATTGAGATTGTTTACATCTTCGCTTGATCCAATCTGCATCTTATCTAGTTTATTTTGGAAAGAGTGAGAGAGAAAAAAAGAAAAAGAAAAAGGACAGAGAAAAAAAGGGAAAAGTGCGAGGAAAAAAAAAGAGAAAAAGGAAAAAAAGAAATTTATGATCTATCTAGAATCAATCTCGTACCTGAATTCGGATTGGAATCTGTTTTGCGCAGTGTTTAGTAAAACAGACATATCTTTTTCATACGAAGTCCGTTTTGGCTCCACAAGTACTCAAATTGAACCTAGCGATGAGCCGCGTCTGAATAGTTGCAAAAGCTATTTTAATATTTGGTGTCTCAAAATCGGCTTCTACATAGGTCTGTTTGCCCTCCGAAGTTCGCACATACAGCTTGTTTCAGTTTTTCAAGCCAGTTTTAGAATTCTTTGACTCCTCATATCAATTCGGAATTGAGTGCTTCTTTTTGCATTGGCAAGCTTGAGTTAGTAGCATTTGTGGAAAAAAACAGAAAATTGGCTCAAAATTTTCAAGAGGAAAGTTGGAGAGAGAGTTGTTGTATATCCTACTTGGCAGTTATTTTTCATCATTATCTTTACTGCCATTGTGATCTTCACTTATATCTTGTTGTCCAGAGCTATTTCTTATCCTTTATTGATGCTAGTTGTGCTATGTTGTGATCTTATTAGTGTTCTAGGCTCGCGTCTCTAGTCCGGTCTAGCTTAGGACTAGCACAGTACCGTCGTTGAGCGTTTATTCAACATTGCATCTCTGAATTGATTATTGTTAATCTTTTGCTACCATATATTTAAGCCTTCCAAGCTCCACATATTTCTACTCCGTGTATACATATGTTCCCCTAGCAATCATTTTCCTCAATCTTTGGAGTTATTTGACACCGTTGGTTGCCAGTCACCACCTGCTTGCATGGTAAGAACTTGTAAGATATTGAGATTTGTTATACTGTGAGCGTTTTACCACCACTTCCAAGTAGTTCACAGGAACATTATTTTTTAATTTTTTTTCTTGTTTCTACTAATTTTGATAGGATCCAGAGTCAATTCATGGGCTTTGTTGATCGCGGGAGACGTGCCACCACCTTTGCAAATACCACAACCGTCACGAGAGGTGCACAAACAACCAAATGCACATGATCAGGTTAACGTTTCTATACCACCATTTAATGGCCGTTTTAGACCTACTTTATATATTGAATGGGAGTTCGACATAAATAATATATTTTCTTTCCATAATTTTGATGAACATAAAAAAGTTAAGGTTGCGGTTGGTTCTTTCACTGGTTATGCTTTGGTTTGGTGGAGTAAATATTGTCGGTTACACCCTGATTATATACCTACTACTTGGGATGATTTGAAACTTGCCATGCGACATACATTCGTCCCCGCTTATTATACTCGTGACATGATTAAAAAGTTGCAACATTTAAAACAAGGTAGTGACACTGTAACGAAATATTATGATGATTTACGAACTACCTTGTTGCATTCATCTTTAGAAGAAAGTGAAGATTATTTTATGATAGATTTTGGGAGGATTAAACTATGATATTCATGAAGAGTGTTATCCTATGGACCATTCGTTTCGTCTTGCTTGCAAAGCTGGACAAGAAATAAAACTACGTGTTGCCCACAAGGAGAACAAGCGCACGATGCAAATTCCAAGAGTTGATACGATTGTACCTTCAACTAATAGGCACACTATGAAAACCACATGCGTTGTTGTGAGGACTAGATCACCTCCACCATATGACACATCACCACTGCGGGTGCCTACATCATCTGAGTTGATAATAAAAGGTAATGACAAAGGTATTGATCTTCCACCTCCACATGAGTATGATGAATACCTTGTCAATTTCAGTGCGCCATGTGATGACCTACCCACTACTTTGATCACACGACCTATTTTAGAGGACTATGTTGATGATTGACTTTGCCATGTGATCAAACAAATGCAATATCAACAATGTTGAGTGCACCCATTGAATTAAATGATGATGCAAAAGAACCATGTGAATCAAGGAATTATTCATATTTGGATCAAATACATTTGAAAATAATTGTGCCAATGTTTAATCATTTTGATATGACCTCTAATATTGGTGATGATTCTGTGTCAAATAACCTATTGCATGTTTGCTTATTTAAGCATGTTATAGCATCTAAATTTAATGCAAGTAAGGTTTATTCATCAATATTGGGATGGTTTAATTATGAACATCGTCAATCTTCTGATACGAATAAGAGCTTCACTTATATGTGCAAACTGAGTTGTAATACTTTCATGCCTTCTAGTTCTTGTAATAATATTTTGGCTTTATATTTGAACTATGAAAGTTACTCATGTATACATGTGTCATGTGTGGAAAAACCAAGGGAAGTAAAAATGGATGACATATACATATACAATATGTACACATTGTCTCTTTTGTTAGCCACATTTCAGATTAAGCAACGCCGGGGACGGCTTTGTTTTCAAGAAGGGGAGGATGATGAGGACATGACTACCTTGGATGCAACAAAAAAATATTGCATACATGGATATTCGTGAGGTGATTTCTAATGCAAATGCAATAATTTATTGATATTATCTAGGACAAAAATACTTCACAGACTTTTATGCTATGTCTAATTGCAGGTGTATGGGACATTTGTACAATCCACATATGAAGATAAGGGAAAAAGAGAAGTTTAGGTGCTGTTCAAAAAGTCATCTTACGTAAATTTTGGCCCAAGAGAAGATAGAGTCCAAGTCTCTCACGTT